TTATTAAAAAATACAGTACTACAAGATAGACTAAAAGGTAGTCCCGTGCACAACCTCTAATTATCTCAAGCCATGACATGAAGTCATTTCTCCAGTCCAGTCGTACATGTATAGTATCCTTTAATGCCAGCGCTCACGCTGAAATTGAAACTTCAAATATTTGTACGCGGCTCAAGGACTCGCCATGTGTGGGTAATTTCCTTAATAACCGCCAGCCTATCGCATTAACATATCTCGTATTTGTCATAAAAATAAGTCAACCACCAGTGCCACCCACCTACCAATCTACAAAATAGCCCAGCTGGTCTCCGCGGAGGAGGCGTTTTGTCAAGGAAATAGGAACTATATCCCCCCTTTCTAGTAGGTGGGTGGAATGCGAAGGAAGGAAGTGTTTATGCCTGCCCATGTGCGTCTCGTAATGACCCACCGGCTAAATGGACACATTATGCGCCGGACACACGAAAAATTGAATTATTCAAGCGACTTTGGAGGCGTCGCTTTTGGAGCCAAACGACATTGCGTGTCAAAGTTTTTCCCTTACGCCAACTTCTAAACTCTGGCACTCCCACTCCTTGAAACTTATGCCGAAAAACAGGGCTAAGAAATACGTTACAAAAGGCAGCCGGCCCACAGAAAGGTGGAAAACCCAACGAGTGCCTTAAAGTTCCACTGGGTGACTTCGAGACTCCGTTTACGCTCTATGCTCATACAGCACACGCCAGAACCAGGACAACCCATACCCCCCACTATACCATATATACCACTATACCATTATAGACCCCGAACCCTTAGGAAATGTAACGGCCGACGATCGACGACAGTTGGTTTCCCAGAGCGTCTTCAAGACGTTCGAGGGGGTGACTTATTTATAAGGAAAAGACTTTCGACATCTGCCAGCTGCACGGGTCTACCTCTGATTGCAACGTTAATAATGCAAGCGAAGAAGAGGGTTACTGCCACGCACCAAAGCGGATGTTTTTCAGGGGGGGATATGAAATCACTGGGACTGGAAGGAACTCTAAGTACTATATATGTAGAACTATCATTGCTTGACGGGACTGTACTCATTATTAGTTGGAAGCGAGTGCAAAAAGCACTTACGATTAAGAGCCGGGAGTTTGGGGGAGGGGGCAAGTATCATTTGGCTAACGCTTGAAATTGGCTTCGTGACGCTTATCGCGATCAATAAATAATATACGAGCAGTTCTAGACAGAGACGGGTAGCGGCACAGATATAGATACACGAACGGAACGACATCGAGGCGGAAAACAAAAAGTATCTGCCAGATACATTTGAGTAATTTGCGTCGTTAGTGCCGGAAAGAGAGGCAAAATAATAATAATAAAAGAAAGTACGCTTGATTACAATGAAAATGTTTTTAATGCCCGAGCTCCTCTTTCCCCCCTCCCCCCCCTCCTCTGTACACCCACACAGAGACAGAGAAAGATATCTGCATAGATAGGCGAAGCAAAAGGACACACGTTAGGCATGCATTTTCCCCCTGTTTCTTTCTTTTTTTTTTGTTCGATATCAAAAGCGCGATAAGCACTAGACACGAATGTGGGGTAGTGGGTGGGAGTGGGTGGCAGGTGCAGGTGCAGGCTTGCAGGTTGGACAAAAGACCAACGGGGGAGGGGGTCAGAAGGAAAAGCCTGGTGGAAAATCCTCAAAGTCGAAACAGTCGCGACCAGCGACCACTGTCCAAACAAAAGTCTGGAAAAATGAGCAGTGGGAGCCGACTTGGCCACATATGGCCATTTTCTGGCTGCCATTGCGTGCCTGGCCCGAACACTAGTACATATCCGTATCTGTATCTCGGCGAGCTCGTGTCTATATCCGTAGTATGTAGTATCCCAGGCTGCGAATGTACGAGTGTGTGCTATCTAATCAAGCGCTGAAAGACAATAAAAGCCAACAACGCAGCCACGACAAACAGCGACCACAAAAAGTGCTTATGTCTGAAAACAACAGCAGGACAAGACCGTTAAGTTACGTGGAGACCAACAGGATACCTAGTAGTTAGGATAGATCTAGATATAGGGAGTTATATATACGACATAGAACCATAACTCTGGATAGCTAAGATATAGGAAGTTATCAATAAGTTAGAGAGTCCATAACTCTGGACAGCCTAAGACATATAAAACAGAATATAAATGCAAACTACCTTCTAGGTTTTCCTTATATTTTATTTCCTTATGTGTTGGTAAAAAGATGTTTCATACTTGGTAAAAAAGATTTTTAACAATCGTTCCTTTTGGGTATGTTTGTATACAAAATATTTATTTAGAATATTATATATATTCTATGATGATCCTTAGCCACATCCTTTCCCCTAATTACAAATACCCCTTCAAAAAAATCACAGAGAATTCCAGGCAACCTACTTCTCTGCCTGGCTAAGTGCAGCGGGAAAACCTTTCCCTGGCTCCACTCGAAAGTATCGCACGGATGTCGTATCTATGGCCCGCCATATGGCGACCAAACGCCGATATCTGTGAGAGTGTTTCCATGTACGAGTATCTGTATCTTATCTGGCAGTCGGGGTATTAGCCAAGGAGCGTGCACCTCATCCTCCTCCTCCTTCTCCTCCACCTCAGGGCCCCCGAAAAGCCAGCAGTGGCCATAACAATAACTGAGACTAGGCTGACATCATAATAATTCGAGTTTACTGCATTGCAATCCCGCTAGAGAGAGACCTTTTGGCAAGTTCTCGGAAAAGTTTTCGCATAAAATCCCTGTTTGAGACAGCCACTGGAGAAGGCAGAGAAGGACATTTTCTTTTAGCACAATTCGCTTCACAAAGTTGCTGCCAATTCTGGTGGAAACGACTGCAAGCCAACTTTGCGGCAACATAATTTTAATGTGTTTGTGGCAGGATTAGAGCTGTGGAGAGCTGGAGAGCTGGAAAGCTGCAACTGCATTGGCAGTGAATGCCAACACACAAGTTGAAAGGTGTTTCTGAACTTTATTGATGTCGTCGACTTCGGGCGACTTCCGCACCACCCGTTAGGCAAATAGCATTGGGATCAGGTAAAAATCGGTTCCCGACTGGATGGATGTCAAATGCCACCACCGAGCACGCCCCTTGGTTCCGTCTGCCTGGTCTCTTCCTTCTGCCCCTGCTCCTCATACTCATCCTTGTCCTCCACCTCCTAACTCCACCTCCTCCTCCTTCCTCCAGCGATCGCCAGCTTGTGCGCACGCGCATTGAGGCATAGACTGTGAGTCCAGGTGTGCTCCGATCATCGCTCGCCGCTCGTGGCAGCCAAGTACGTGCCATAACCACACTTGGAAAAAAATCTACTGACTCTTAAATTTTAACCACATTAAATAACTGTTAAAAATAACTATAACCTTCTTAAAAATGAGATTTAATAACGCCAAAGGATACATAGTTCTACTGATCCACTAAAAATTTTTTTTCCATTTATGTTTTCGATATTTTCTGTGTTTATAATTTTAAAATTATTAATATAAGTATAATTCTTCATATTAATAATTTAATATTGAACTGTCAAGATAAATTAAAAGCTTCTTTTAAAAGTCAGCTTTAATGCTTTTAAGATGTAAAAGATCGTGAGTACATTTTCTATAATTCACCAATGAATGTTTTTAAACATCAAAGACTTTTTAAACAATCCCCCATTATCCTCAGTGTATTGAAACTCCCCTTGCTTCCAAGCAATCGTTTGCCAACATCAGCTGTTGGCTGTGGCGATCGTTTCCTTCCGCATCCGTATAAGCATAGGGGCTGCAGAATCCCTACCGGTTTCGCATTGCTCTTCGTGACTTCCCCCACCATTTGCTCATTTTTCTATTTCCAGCGAATCTCAGCTCGCCAGATTGCTATTTAATCTGGCAAAATGATTCTTTGAAGCGGAATCACAATGCCTAATTGCCACTAGTTCAGTTTTGGGACAGTTTTTTTTTTAGTTTTAACGGATTTTAGAGTCACTTGACCGTAACACAATCCACCTCGCCCCCTCGTAGGCACTTTTTATGAGCCAAAGCATATTTTAATGATGACACCCGACCACGAGAAGGAGAGGAATATAGACAGAACACATGGCCGTGCCACACTTCGGTCGTTTGTGCGATGAGTACATTACCGTGTGCCGCGATCTGTGAAGGCACATTCCAAAGCACACTTTGAGATACATGCATGTATATTTGTCCCTAGCACTGCCCCTCCATAAAAAACCCGGCGCCTCCCTCATTTCCAGCGCATGCAAAGTATCCGCCGAAGCCAGCGTTTTACATCGGAACATGAACGGAAAATGTGTTAAGGTCGTAATTATCTGCGCTGCCGTTTGTAGGTGGAAGTTCGCCTCAGCTGGCAACTTTCTTTGCTCCTTGCTCTCCTTTCTTCTCCTGAGCTAGTGCCATATGTCGGTTTCTATGCCCTCCTTGCGGGGTTGAAGTTAGAAAGGCCCATTGATAACGCTCCTAGACCAAGTCCCGAAGTGCATTGAACTTGGAAATGCCAACTGTCTATCGTAGGAGCAGTTGAAAAGTATCTAAAGAAAGCGTTCCTCAAGAAAAGGTTGTCGACATAAAGAGGCAATTAGGTAGTTTTCTCCGACTTAAGTATACGGGCACGTGGGCGCAATTTACCTATCAGATGGTAATAAGATAGTAGAACCTAAGACTTACAGTCTGCTGTCTGTAAAGAACAAAGAAATGATTTATTGTATAGAACTGAAACTTTAACTTTTCTTAGAACAGATTGGACAAATATATATATTGCTCAAGTAATAGTTATAATCTTGAAAGTAAAATAAGCAATCTTTAACATTAACTTAAGAATTTTTCATTTCTATAATATATTACATTGTAAGACAATCTGGTGCAAAGTATGCAGTTAAGGTATAAACAACTATGCTAAAAACATATAAATTGTATAAGTGTTTTATTGTAATACAAGTTAAATTTGATATACCAATTTTTACCAATTTTCCTATTCCACTAACGTTTTTAATTTCTTTTTCTATTGCAGGAGGATCTATGATGGACGACAGAGAAAAATAATGCTTTGTTTGTGGTAATTTTGACAATTCCAATATCCCGATCTGCTGTGCATAGGAATGCCCTTGCCCTGCTCTAGACCCAGCCCAACCAACTTACTAAGTCCTGCATAGGGGTGGCTGTTCCTGCTCCTGCTCCTCACCCTCTTTGCCTTCGTTCTTGTCCCTCCGGGTTGTCCTTGCAAGCTGCAGGCTCGCGAGGAGGTACAGTTGCCGAAAAAGGGACCGAAGAACGGAGGGGTGGCTTCCGTTGACATTGACTTGGGCCTACGGGCTGCAGTCTGCATTCCATTGCACTCGCAATTGAAATCGAAGGGTCCGAAAGTCGAAAACCCGCCTGCCAAAGGGGAGGATTCTGCTTCGTGGATCTATATTCTTGGGAAATGCACATGGTCCCTAGACACTAACGATATGAAAAAACGAGCATTTAAGATACACACACCAAGTGTGATCGATAGTCGATGCTTTGACGCATTTGGCGAGTTCCAAAGTCCCCATATTGATTATTTCGAGTGCTTACGCATTCGACCCATGGCCATATGCAAAGTATCTACATGTCTATGTCTATGTATCTGTATCTGTGGCAGAGAAAAGTAAGTCAAACTTGTTTATCAGCGAAAACGAAGTGACTTATCTTTATTTTGTACAAAAACAGAAAGGGGCGGGTACACACACTGTGACTCACACCCCCAATCACACACACACACAAACAGACTGGCAGAGGAATAAGCTCAAGTGGAGAAATTAGATAAAAACCTGTCTCGGGTGGGAGGAGGTTTGGAGGGTGGTTGTGCTGAATTAAGGACACCACCCCGAGAAACCCACCCACAGCCTCACAGGACCTGAACAGCCATCCCCTCGACAGCCCCAAACCGAGCACCAATCAAGTGGCCACCCAAACCAGAAGCTTTTGGCCAGCCACTTTTACTTTCCATTTAAACACTCGCCCCATTCTCAGTCAACCCATTTTTCCCACACAGCAGATGTACCCAAACTTATGCCTTCCATTAATTTTACAGAAAGATTTTTGAGCGCAAGCAAGGATTATTAAAACGAAAACCAAGCCAAACCAAACTAAAAAAACAAACCCAAAAACGACAAAAATTGACAAAATACGAATAAAACGAATAAAAATCTCAAAATTCGGGCAAAGCATCGAAAACACACTTTTGAGAATCAAAAATCAAAGCGAAAGTATAAAACACAACAAACTGGAAAGGAGCAGAAAGGACCTAGAGAACGAGTACGAGAAGGGGAGTAAAACGAAGGGAAATACAAATCAAATCTAAATAAAATTAAATGCAAAGGACATTCGCATGTGTGTGGTGGTGGAAAGAAAATTCAAAACAAAATTCACAATTAGAAAACGCAGGAAAAAACGTAGAAAACGCAGACACAAATCGAGCGGCAACCAACTGTCAACAGCGGCAAGAATTTTGAACTGGAACATTTCGACCAAAAAGTTGGGCGACAGCAAAATTTCAACGTTTGGCGCACTACAACAGCAACAACAACAACAACACAGCAGCAGCAAGGACATCGCGGCCAGGCAGCCAGGATTGCAGGATTGCAGGAGCGAGCGGTTTTGAAAGCGCAGCACACATCGATAGGCCCCTTCTTCTTCTACTTCTTCATCTCCCTTACACGGACCTAGACTCAGGCAAGGATACGCTTAGAAAGCTAGAAAGCCTTAGCCAGACTTAAACTTGAAATCACGCATACGCCGCGGCGAATTCTCGCGCTCGCTCTCCCTCCCTCTCTCTCTCACTCACTCTCTCTCGTTGACCAAAACGAAGGGGAAAAGCCCGGAGAAAATTCAGCCAATCCGAAGAAGCGGAGAGGGTGACGACTTAGGGTTGCTGAGGGGAAAGCAAGGCAAGCAGGGAAGGCAGCGAAAGCGGAGAAAGCAGGGAGAGAGCTGCTGCTGCTGGTGGGCATCATCTTATGATGTCATCGGAGGAGTACGAGGCGGACTGTTTTGGTTTGTACAGCGATGAGAACAACGTGCTGCTGAAGGCAACCGAGCCGGAGACAATTGTCAAGCTACAGCAACACCAGCAACATCTGCAACAGCAACAGCAACCACCGCCGAGCAACCACAGCAACGGTCACACGTCACCAATACCCATACAAGTCAACGGCGACGGCAGCGCGGCGAATTGCGGCGAGAGCGCCAAGACCACCAATACAAATACAACCAGCAGCACCCATACAGAGGCAGACAAGGACCAAGAGAGAGAGAAGGCAAAGGAGAAGGCCAACGAAGAGGAGGCCGCCGAGTCCGACGATTCCGACGACGACGTCGTGGTTGTGCTCGAAGGCTGCGAAGGCAACGCCAGCAGCAGCAGCAACAGCAATAGCAGCAGCAACAACAGCAGCAACGCCAGCAGCAACAACCACAAGGCAGCAACCACGACGACGACAGCAGCAACAACGACGACGACGACGACGGCGGCGAACGCGAATCGCAGTGGCAGTCGCAGTCATCGCAGCGCCCGCAGTAGTCGGCAAATCAGTCAGTCAACGGCCGTCGGCAAGACAACAACGTGCGCGGCTAAAAAACCAACAGCAACACAGGCCCAAGCGCCCACGCCAAACACAGTTAAGAACACGAACGTAAATAACGGTGGCTCAAACGGAAACGGAAACGCGAACAGTAAAGTGAATAGTCGTCGTTCGCGTCAGAGATCCTTGAGCAAAGACATTGCCATTAACATAAACCTAAACAATCAGCAACAGAACAGTAATAGTAATAGCAACAGCAATAGTAGCAACAACGGCGGAGCAACGGCAACCGCTGCTGGCTTCATGAGTAGCGCTGCCGCGGCTGCTGCGGGTGCCGCTGGTGGAGGAGCCCTGTTCCAACCACAATCGGTCAATAGCTCGGTTAATAACAATAATAATAGCAGCAACAACACTTTGGGCACTCCGGCTGCCACAACCACCCACTCGCACACCCACTCGCCCAGCAGCAACTCACCCGTTTCGGGCGCCAGTTCGGCATCGTCCTTGTTGACGGCCGCCTTTGGCAACCTGTTTGGTGGCTCCTCGGCCAAGATGCTCAACGAGCTGTTTGGCCGCCAAATGAAGCAGGCCCAGGACGCAACGAGTGGCCTGCCCCAGAGTCTGGACAACGCCATGCTAGCCGCCGCCATGGAGACGGCCACCAGCGCCGAGTTGCTCATCGGAAGCCTGAATTCCACGTCCAAGTTGCTGCAGCAGCAGCACAACAACAACAGCATTGCTCCCGCGAACAGTACGCCGTTAAGTAATGGCACAAATGCCTCGATCTCGCCGGGATCGGCCCACAGTTCCAGTCACTCGCATCAGGGTGTCTCTCCGAAAGGAAGTCGCCGTGTCTCCGCTGCAGTGATCGCTCCTTGGAGGCGGCAGCAGCCGATGTTGCTGGTGGCTCACCACCTCGGGCAGCCTCAGTGAGTTCCCTAAATGGAGGAGCAAGCAGTGGGGAGCAACACCAATCGCAACTGCAACACGATCTGGTGGCCCATCATATGCTGCGGAATATCCTGCAGGGCAAGAAGGAGCTGATGCAACTCGATCAGGAGCTGCGCACGGCCATGCAACAGCAGCAGCAGCAGCAACAGCAGCAGCAACTCCAGGAGAAGGAGCAACTGCACACGAAGCTCAACAATAATAACAACAACAATATTGCTGCCACCGCCAACAACAATAACAACACCATGGAGAGCATCAATCTGATCGACGATTCGGAAATGGCGGACATCAAGATCAAGAGTGAGCCGCAGACAGCTCCTCCACCGCAGCAATCCCCGCATGGCAGCAGCCACAGCAGCCGGAGTGGGAGTGGCACTGGAAGCCACAGCAGCCTGGCCAGCGATGGCAGTCTGCGACGCAAGTCCTCCGACTCCCTGGATAGCCATGGGGCACAGGATGAGGTGCAGGACGAGGAGGATGCGGCAGCCAATCGTTCGGAGAGCCGGGCTCCCGAGGAACCCACCCAGCTGCCCACCAAAAAAGAGTCCGTGGACGACATGCTCGACGAGGTGGAACTCTGGGCCTGCACTCGCGCGGCTCCGATCTGGAGAGCCTTGCCTCGCCCAGTCACTCGGACATGATGCTGCTGGACAACAGTAAGGACGATGTCCTGGACGAGGACGACGACGATGATTGCGTGGAACAGAAGCGCGACTCCGGCAGCGGCAGTCTCAAGAAACCGGGCATGGATCTGAAACGAGCCCGTGTGGAGAACATTGTCTCCGGAATGCGATGCAGTCCGTCCTCTGGCTTGGTCCAGGCTGGACAGCTCCAGGTGAATGGCTGCAAGAAGCGCAAGCTCTACCAGCCACAGCAACACGCAATGGAGCGATATGTGGCCGCCGCAGCTGGCCTGAACTTCGGCCTCAATCTGCAGAGCATGATGCTCGACCAGGACGACAGTGAGTCCAACGAGCTGGAGTCTCCACAAATCCAGCAGAAGCGCGTGGAGAAGAATGCCCTCAAGTCGCAGCTGCGATCCATGCAGGAGCAGCTGGCGGAGATGCAGCAGAAGTATGTGCAGCTGTGCTCGCGCATGGAGCAGGAATCCGAGTGCCAGGAGCTCGATCAGGATCAGGATGTCGAGCAGGAGCAGGAGCAGGAACAGGAGCCCGATAATGGCAGCAGCGATCACATCGAGCTGTCGCCCTCGCCCACTCTGACTGGAGATGGAGATGTAAGTCCCGCCCACAAGGAAGAGGTGGGTCAGGAGCGACCTGGTTCCAGTTCGCCCTCACCTTCTCCTCTGAAACCCAAGACCTCGCTGGGCGAGAGCGGCGACTCCGGTGCTAACATGCTATCCCAGATGATGAGCAAGATGATGTCCGGCAAGCTGCACAATCCCTGTAGGCGTGGGCCATCCCGCCCTGCCACAAGGATTCCCACCGCTGCTGCAGCACATGGGTGATATGTCGCATGCGGCGGCCATGTACCAACAGTTCTTCTTCGAGCAGGAGGCGCGCATGGCCAAGGAGGCCGCCGAGCAGCAGCAGCAGCAACAACAGCAGCAGCAACAACAACAGCAGCAGCAGCAACAGCAGCAGGAGCAGCAGCGACGATTCGAGCAAGAGCAACAGGAGCAGCAGCGACGCAAGGAGGAGCAACAACAGCAGATCCAGCGCCACCAGCAGCAGCTGCAACAGTTGCAACAGCAGCAGATGGAGCAGCAACATGTGGCGGTCACTGCCGCACCAAGGCCGCAGATGCACCACCCGGCACCCGCCCGCCTGCCCACGCGAATGGGCGGGGCAGCGGCCCACACCGCCCTCAAGTCGGAGCTGTCCGAGAAGTTCCAATGCTGCGCGCCAACAACAATAGCTCGATGATGCGCATGTCGGGAACAGACCTCGAAGGACTAGCCGATGTGCTCAAGTCCGAGATCACCACCTCGCTGTCCGCATTGGTGGACACCATTGTGACCCGGTTCGTCCACCAGCGGCGACTGTTCAGCAAGCAGGCGGACTCCGTGACCGCGGCGGCCGAGCAACTGAACAAGGACCTGCTGCTCGCCTCCCAGATCCTAGACCGGAAGTCGCCGCGCACCAAGGTGGCGGACAGGCCCCAAACGGACCCACGCCCGCAACACAATCAGGTAATAATGGTTCACTACTCCTAGCTAATAGTCAAATGCCCTCCCAAGCGCCTGTGTCGAGTGGTGGGTCGAATGGGCAGCAGCAACAGCAGCAGCAGCAGCAACAGAATGCCCAGCAGCAACATGCGAGTGCGCAGCAGCAGCACAACAGACACCGCAGCAGCAACACACCTGCAACAGCAGCAGCAACAACAGCAATCGCATCCCCTGCTGCCGCCCAACTGCCAACAGCTGATCTCCGCCCCCGCCTAAATGGCAGCCAGTTATCCTTCGCCTCGCCCGCCGCTGCTGCAGCCGCTGCAATGGGTCTGCAGATGCACCATGCCGCCGCAGCAGCAGCAATGTCCGCCCAGCAGCAGCAGCAGCAGCAACAGTCGGTTGATCCCAATGCGAATACTAACCCAAACAACGGGCCAGCTGGGCCGAACCCCACTAACAATAGCTTAAGTACCCTTAATATACCGCCTCCTCACATTCGTCCTTCGCCCACAGCGGCTGCCATGTTCCAGGCGCCCAAGACGCCGCAGGGCATGAATCCGGTGGCCGCCGCCGCTTTGTACAACTCGATGACCGGACCCTTCTGCCTGCCGCCCGATCAGCAGCAGCAGCAGCAGACCGCCCAACAGCAGCAACAGTCCGCCCAGCAGCAGCAGCAGCAAAGTGTGCAACAGCAGACGCAACAGCAGCTGGAGCAGAACGAGGCGCTCAGCTTGGTGGTGACCCCGAAGAAGAAGCGCCACAAGGTGACCGACACCCGCATCACGCCGCGCACCGTCAGCCGCATTTTGGCCCAGGATGGTGTGGTGCCGCCCACCGGAGTACCTCCAACCACGCCCCAGCAGCAGCAGCAACAGCAACAGCAGCAACAACAGCAACAGCAGCAACAACAACAGCAACAGCAGGCTGCGAACGGCGGCAACAGCAATGCCACGCCCGCCCAGAGTCCGACGAGGAGCAGTGGAGGAGGAGCCCCGTACCACCCACAACCGCCGCCACCACCACCACCCATGATGCCCGTGTCCTTGCCCACCTCCGTGGCCATTCCCAATCCCTCGCTGCACGAGTCCAAGGTCTTCTCGCCGTACTCGCCGTTCTTCAATCCCCATGCAGCCGCTGGCCAGCCCACGGCCGCTCAACTGCATCAGCACCACCAGCAGCACCACCCGCACCACCAGCCCATGCAGCTGTCCTCCAGTCCGCCGGGCAGTCTGGGCGCCCTCATGGACTCCCGCGACTCGCCGCCGCTGCCCCACCCGCCGTCGATGCTCCATCCCGCCCTCCTGGCAGCCGCCCACCATGGCGGATCGCCGGACTACAAGACCTGCCTGCGGGCCGTCATGGACGCCCAGGATCGCCAGTCCGAGTGCAACTCGGCCGACATGCAGTTCGATGGCATGGCTCCTACTATATCCTTTTACAAGCAAATGCAACTAAACACAGAACAGCACCAGGAGTCGCTGATGGCCAAGTGAGTTTCCACCTAGTCCAGCACCGTGTGCAGCAGAGAAAGATGGGTTGGGATATAGTAGCATGGTAGTAAGGTAGTTTAGAGACCAGGTACTTAACCCCACCCGGTCCGGACCTCGCTTACAAAACGAAACCAATCAAGTGTCTTCTTCAGTTTATTTATTTCCCCAACTAAATTCTTTTATAAAATGTAATCAAAACCTTATTTATTGCCCCGCCGCACACTTAAGCCCCCAAAGGCCCCCGAAAGACCCTCAAGTCATCATCATCATCGACTTGGCCTGGCTTGAGTTGCATTTCGCAACAGCCACAGAAATGGAAAAAAATCAATGACGAGCAGCCAATCGAAAGAGCTGCACTCGTTGGCCTCTTACTAGCCCCCATTTCCGAGCCCATTCTACTTTTGATTCCGATTCGGATTCCGATTCCCAGCTCAGCTTTTTCAATCAGTGGGTTGAAGGAGGCGAAAGCGGGGGCTGTGGCACCCTTAGACATTCATTATTGGCACTCGAAAGTGCAGCCACGTTAGACATTGCCAATCCAATCGTACATATATATTTTCGCCCCCCCTGCACCCAACACCTCTCTTTCTCTGCTATACACGAACATGGAAATTTGGAAAGACAATCGACCATCCATCCGACACAAATATCTCATACATATACCATATATATCTATAACGCCACCAGACATTGCGAATCCTTGACTCCTTTGCACTCTTCTACATTGACACCGATGCACCTGCGCAAGGCCAAGCTGATGTTCTTCTGGGTGCGCTATCCCAGCTCCGCGGTGCTCAAGATGTACTTCCCGGACATCAAGTTCAACAAGAACAACACAGCACAATTGGTGAAATGGTTCTCGAACTTCCGGTAAGTTGTGCAATTAACAATCTATAGAATCTGACCTAATTACTAAGTATAACCATTCAGCAGCATTCATTTTTATGATTTCGTTTCGTCATCTAAGTTTTGGGTTTAATGTTTTAGTTGGTATGGGGGGGTTTTCCTAACAAATTGATTGGCCAAAAATGAGACTGCCACCTGTCGAAACCCTCGACTTGCACTCAAGAAGTAGCCCAGGGACATGCAACACCATTCGGCTGTCATTCCGCGACTCCAACTGTCAGTCCATGAAATTGCGCAAGAAGTTGCCAAAAAGAGCACAAAAAAGACTAAAGACTACGGAAAAACGACAGCTGCCAGATAGTCCGGGTCTGGGTTATTCCGGGGAAGAAGTTCCGAGGGGTGAACTACAGAGCTACAGAGCCAAAGTGAAGTGAGGTAGGCCCGCATTCAGTCGCCGTGATTTGCGCGCCAAATCCGAGGCCGCATCTGTCCGCCCCGAAAAATCAGGGAAAACAGAAATTCCGAAAGAAAACAGAGCGTGGCACAAGGTCTCACCTGGATTTACCTTCCAACCCTCTTTCATCGTCTTTCATCGGCTTAGCAGCTGTCCGTCGCCTCCGATTTGTCTAAGACATGCGCAACGTCTTAAGGAATTGTTCGCGAGACACCCTAAGAAATTCTACCTACCCTACCTGCAAACAAAAGACAACAAATCAAGACCCGGCACGCTCGGGGTTTGTTCGTTAGTTCTTTGGGGTTGCAGTCCCTTTTCGATATGAACCCTACTTTGCATGGGAATCGGCAATCGGGGAGTTGGCATCTTGTCTTTACTTACGACTTCGACTTCTTTGGCGAGAGGTTAAAATGGGTGGGAATATTTTTTGATTTCCTAACTGGTTCTCGATTGTTTATTTCCGTTTTTCTAAGGGTTTCGGTTTAGCAGGGTTGTAAGATGTAACGGTTTTTTAATATTACTTTCTCATCTTAAGTTCCCTGAGTTTTGAATTCGGTTTCCTTTGTTCTCTCGAGGGAAAGCATTTTCCCTTAATCGTTTTCCCCCTAAATTAACCTAGGAAATTAATACTTGTAACCGCTTTTTGCTCTCTCTTAACGACTAGTTAATATTATGAGTTTCCCACACTCACACAGTACAGACACACAACCAGCGAACACAGAACGTACACAGAGATAAACTGGGGCTGAGTGCTCTAATAACATGTTGCTAAAAGTGGCCACTTAAGAAAAATGCAAGGGGTTAGGAGCCCCGGTTGAAGATGAGTTGGAGAGTCCGGAGGATGAGCGTTACGATGATGAGCTGCCTGGCCACTTGAGCTGGCGAGTCAAGTGTGAAAATAGCGGAGAGCGAGGCCAAGAAACTTGTGGCGCTGGCATATTAAAAAGCGTTGCCTACTTAAGTGGGCCCCACCCACACACACCACACCCCCTCCCCCACACCACTCTCAGGGCATATGTGTACGTTTGTTGGCTAATTAACAAAAGTGCCTTTTGTTCGAGGTCCTCAAGCAGGCCACTTATATAATTGCATTAGCTGCAGTAACTTCTTTTTGTGCTCGCCAAAATGCAAATAATGAAAAGAAAGCGGCAAAGGACATGCATTCACAGACACACATACACATATGCACATACATAGACACTCAGCTCCTGGCGGGCTAATTAGTTTGTTTGCCAGGATACATTCAGTGGGTTTCTTTGGCCGCTTTTCATGGCGGCAGCTACTTGAGAGTTTCGAGCACAATGGCCAGGGCCCTACTGGCAAAAGGCGCTCAAGGATACGCCCACACACATGCTAGCCCACTCACTTACACCCACAAATGCGACACACAAACATATACACTCTCACATCTCCCGCTGTTCTTTTTCCGTGTTTTGTTTCTCATCGAGCCGCTTTCCTTTTTTTGAGGTTAAGTGTCCTTTTGGCGCTTAGAGCAGCTCCGCCTCCCCCCACCCTCCCTTAGCTTTTCCCCTCCTTCGTCGCGTGAAAAGATCTTGCTGACAAGAACAACAACAACAAAAACAAATGCAGTTACATTTATATAATACACACTCACAGCCACACACAGCCACACACCCAGACACTCAGATACGATACACGCTCCATTCTGTATATGTATATAGACGTATATGACTTGTACAGATGCTTATATATAGATACAATGCAAAAGTGTTGCCAATTACTTCATTAATGTATGAGGTAGAGATGTCTGCATATGTGTGGGTGAGTATGTGTGAGCTTATTAATAACATTCTACTCGTTCGTATTCGTAACCGTAATCCGTGATACGTAATTTATTGCGGAGGAAGTGAAGAAGAAGAAGAAGGTGCAGCGAAGAAGGAGACACATGCACACACACACGCACACACGAACAAAAAACGCACACATAAAAGCACACTGGCACACGCACACATTCAAGCGGCGAGAGTGGGCGAGAGAAAGAGAGAGAGGGTGTGGGTGTAGGTGTGAGATGATGAATGCACTTGACAAAGAAACGCCTGCCTGCCTTTCAACAAGTGTTTTAGTGGCTCTCCCTCTCTCACTCTCCTCTCTCCTCCTCCTCTCTATGTTTCAGTGTGTGTGTGTGTGGGTGAGGCCCGGCCCAAATAAATAGGCTACGAAATATTATATGCAAACTAATTAGCACTTCCGTCAAGCCCCAACGCCATTGCATCTGCACATCTGCAGTTCCACTTGCACGGCTTATTATCTAAATTAAGTGGCGCATTTGAAACCGCCAAGCCAAGCTTCCTTTTCCTGCCACATGTGCTTCCCTCTGCTTGCATAAGGCTCGCCTCAAGCTCCTTTTCACGCCAGCCACAAAGCTAATTGCAATTCAAACCCAACCGAATGGAGAGGGGGCTGAGATCCCGGCAATCCCTAATAACTATGGACACCCGGCACAATGAACTGTCACACAAAACTGTCACACAGCGATTCCTTTCTTTTGGCCAGGCCAAGCCATCAGCCTCATTATGAAGCCATCCAAAACCACCCATCCGATCCACAGCCGCCTCCGGGGAGCCGCAAAAAAGGGGGGCGTGGCGCGCCTATGGTCTGGGGGCAGAAGGAAAAGATTTTCTATTTGCGCATTCTGCGCTTATTGTTTGGAAAATCAACACGAGCGCTGTGTGGCACAACATGAGAAATGCATTTGGCGTACTGCTACTGGGAAATCTTGAAATTAGCGCGATTATCGGAGCGTTGTGAAGGGGGGATGGGGGTGAATGGAGGGATGGGAGGTTCTCCAAAGGATTCCCGGCAAAAAAAAGACAACAATTAGTACGCGGAGCAGACAATGGTGGAGAAGGAGGCGGAGGAGGCGGAGGAGAGGCAGTCAGGCCGGAAGACAAGCAATCACTTACAGTTGCCAAGTAAAGCATACACCCCCAGTCGTATCCCCCTGCGAATGGCAGCCCCCACACACAAATCACTTGACTAAACAAGGCGACGCAGCAGCAGCAGCCCGCTGCACTTGCTAATTAAATCCCCAACCCCCAGGCAGTCCTTCCCAGGATACAAAGTACAACAGAGAGAAATAAAAAACCGCAGCTAGAAGATGCCGCCTCGACTTGCAATTGTTATTGCACCACCACGAGCTGCTGCTGCACATTTGAGATTTATTAAAAATTCTTTACACACTCGCACTCACACACCGATACAGACTCACACACACACACACCACGACGCGCCTAAGAGTATGCAGCGAATTATTAATAATGTCATACTCAAACAGCTATCCAATATAATGCATTAAGGGACCCCCTAGGAACAGAGTGAGCGAGATAGCGCGACTGTATGAGAGTGTATGAGAGCGAGAGAGAAAGAGAGAGCGAGCCAGCATTAGCGATTTCCTTTGAATTTGGTTTACCCACTTTACGGCTTTCCTTCTTTGATTTCCCACCCTCGCCTTGGTTCGAACCTTATTTTTCTTTCATTTACGTTGCGATTTTGTAAATTTGAATGCTGAACCTGAACCTGAACAACCAAAAAAAATATAAATAGAATAGAATAAAACAGAATACTGACCAAACCAAACATTCCTCATCTACGCATCTGCAGAGAATTCTACTACATACAAATGGAGAAATATGCACGACAAGCTGTCACCGAAGGCATCAAGACACCCGATGATCTGTTGATTGCTGGAGATAGTGAATTGTATCGCGTGCTCAATTTGCACTACAATCGCAATAACCACATTGAGGTATGCCAATAACCACGCCCACACCCACACCCACACCCACTAACACTAACACACTAACCATTCCCTCCCCTAAACCGACTCTACATGCACACACACTACAAATTTCTTAAGAAAAAAATAAATCAAATAATGTAAAAAAAGTGTGTGTGGATGCGAGCGAAGAACCACTAACCAGATGATCCAGAGAAACCCCCTTTTGGGAGCCAGTCGCTAATCGAGAAAATCGGTCCACAGGTACCCCAGAATTTCCGCTTCGTGGTCGAATCGACTCTGCGGGAGTTCTTCCGTGCAATACAGGGTGGCAAAGACACCGAGCAGTCGTGGAAGAAGTCCATATACAAGATCATCTCGCGCATGGACGATCCCGTGCCCGAGTACTTCAAGTCGCCCAATTTTTTAGAGCAGCTGGAATAAGTGGAGGAGTTGGCGCTGCCGACGCTGCCGCTGCCGTTGCCGCATCCGCTGGGAATGCCACCGCCCATCAGTCCGGCCACCACCACCATCTGCAGCAGCAGCACCACCAGTACCACCACTACGGGCACCAACTCCAGGGCCGGCAGCAGCCATCCGAAGGCGAGGCGCAGGCCAAAGCTAAAAGGCTAAACCTGCGCAGGAAACACGACTGGATATGACCAACTCCCCAGCCAAAGAACAAAAATCAGAAAAAAAAGAACAAACAGTATCCACACACAGAGAAAAATGAAGGGAACTTAGACATAGCTGAGTGAGAAACACCGAGTCGAAAACGCGTTTAGAAAACACATTGAGCAAAATATTTTTTCAAAAATTTCCAAAAACCACACAAACTACACACCCAAAACATCACACAACCTCAGCGAAAGAAGAGCGACAAGATTATGAAGAAAGTGGGCCAGGAGATCCTAATCTCCCCGGCAGACATTTAAAAAAACCAAAACTATACATAGAGCAGCAAGTCTTAATCTAATAATGTGAAATAGTGCAAATTGAAAGAGAACCTGAGCCACACACCTGAGAACACCCCGTACACACCGAGCGTAATTTACAGGCAGTGTAAACTGTACTCGCCGTTGGTTTGTTAGTTGAAATTTTTTTGAAAATATTTACGATTACTATACGTATGAATATTTAACAAATAGTTGAGCCGTCTAATGATCTACCGAAAGTTGACACACATTCCACAGAAAAAACAAAAAAAAAACAAGATACACCAATACATTCCACGCACACACACACACACGCTCGCAACGGTACAAAGTGTGTGTTCATTTGAGAGAGAGCGAAAGTCGCTCAGCCAAACAGGAAGTGGACATCATTGCACTGCTTGGCCGACCGACTTTCCGGTAAGCAGTTTCCGCCGCTCAGTTGCACACTGCTTTACAAAAGCAGGCGCAGCTCCGTCGGCCGGAAATCGGGAATTAATCTTAAAAGTTTAAAAGTCACCCGAAAGCTAAAGTTGCTATATCCCCTATAACCCCCCTTTTAAGCGCTAAGCATATATTCGATGTCTATTAAGCGAAAGTAAAAGCAAAAAATCACAAAAAAAAGTTAAGAAATTGCGAAAACTATTTAGATTTTTAATCAAAGAGAGAGCCAGAGTTATGTATTTGTACGAACAGCGGGCGTTAGGGTAGTTAAATTTACCAATTTATCATTTACAATACGTTATGCGAACCTTCGACCAAAGTTAATTGTTAACATGAATCCCTTAAGTGCGGTTTATTTTTAATCAATTCTTATACTTTAGTGCCCCACCTTTGAGCACGCATCTTAATTTTATAGTATAATCAACATATACACTGAACACCCCACCAACACAACCACACACACACACACTAGTCTGTTATTTATGTAAATAATTTATACGTTTAGTTAAGTTAACGTTTAGTTTAATTAATTTACTTTACTTGGCCTTGAGTTGCAACAAAACAAAATATACACGAAACACCAAAAATATCAATTAAAAATATGGTTTTTTCTTTCTCTTAATTTTTAAAACATATATATTATATATACAACAATTTCTGGCTGGCTGAGATCGATCATGCACTTCTCACTCATCAGCACAGCAGACACAGCATGGAAAGTGGGCGGGTTTAGAGGGATATGTTTGCCTGCTCTCCGTCCGGCGATTATTTTTGGGCCAGGGGCGGGCAAACCCTGTTGTTCCTGCAGCTGCAATATCTCAACCTCGATTGCAACTGCACCGCGACAACAGCAACAACATCATCAACTGCATGCAAAACATTTGAATTTTTGGCACAGACAAAATCATATTCCTCGAACGAAAAGAACGCAGCGAAATCGACCATTTCGGCCCAACAATTGCTCCGAGGAGCTCCATCAGCCAGCCAGTTAGTCAGTCAGTCAGTCAGTTACTAAGTTTAGCCAGCCCCATACCCTAGCGCCCTCTGGTGGGAGTTTGGATTAGATTAGATTAGATGAGATGGGAACACCGCTATAAGGGAGATGAGATGAGATCGCACAACCCAGCAAACCTTTCGGCCACACCAATGATCACGAAATTATTGAACAATAGTTGAATTTTAGCTAAAACTAAATTGAAACGAACTAAGCGAGTTTTTTAGGCTTAACCAGAGGAATCTGAGCAAAATTTGATTGCACTTTGGCGTAACTATGACAAAATTAGTCGCGTATAAGACGGTGAGTTTCCTAATCCAAAAGATCAAGATCGAGTAGAAGAAACTGGAGTTCTTCGCATCGAAATTGAAAGAGAAATTCATGTTTGGATATTGAAAATGAGAAAAAAGCATTTGCGAAATTAGTATTTAGGGAATCGTACAAAACAGACGAGGCATTCGCTAATCGAACTGAAGTTTACGTTTATCGCATTACCCAGTTGAGTTATCTTAACCCTAAGTTTCACCCACCTTCACAGCAGACAGAAGTCGAAATTCAAGTCCGATTTTAGGGCCTCAGGAGTGACGCGTTGATTGTTAATGCCTTTACAAAATTTACGAAGGAAGCGGCTTTTGGCAATGGAGTTGAAATTTTAAAATGAGAAATTTGAAAAGAATATTTGGAAATGAAATTGAAATTGATCTAAATACAATTGTAACTGATTTTGTGATAGAAAAAGTAACTAACAACAAACTAAAAATCGAACTAACTTCATTATTGTTTCGGATAAAACCAATATGGAGGCCTCCCATTGGGGCCTCCATACGAAATTATTGATTGATGTAAAAATAGTTAATTGACAATTGCGAGACGAGCAAATTATGAGACGAAACCATTTAGGCAATTTAAGGCGTATTAACAATAAACGTTTGGCTAACAAAACTTTAGGCGAAATTTTATCTTTAAGCAAAATTTGAAAATAGCGCGAAGCAACCGTATCTAGACCGTCGAAATTCAGGAAGTTAACAGCAATACAAAAAGAGAAATACGAAAAATTAAGCACTCAAACCTTTCTGTTCTATTCAGTTTCCATCAGTTTTAGTCAGCGCTTTCTTTCTTTACCTCAAGGAAGGCGAATGAACCGATATACTTGCGTACCAACAAATGACACAGGAGCACACTTACACTTGCGTATATTTAATGCAACATACATATTTCATACATTTATACTAAACATAAACATACATACTTAAACTTAAGTCAACAAGTCAAGGGGGCGGGCCACAAAAGGGTCCGTCCCCCATCGATAATTGGTTAATAAAAGCGAAATTAATTGAGAAAACAGAAAACACAAATGACGGCGCTTGGATTTTTCTTTACCAAAATTTAACCCCCACCTTTTGGCCGCTTATAAACCACCCATTTTTTGGTTCAACTTCCCCCAAACCAAACCAACCGACCTCCGTCAGAAGCACTTTTGGCATTTTTCACCGCAAAATTGGAACTGATTGGCAACCACAACACCACCATTATCACACAACTCCACTTCACTAACCCCAAAATAAAAAACAACCTCAACTAATCGGTGGAGCGCAGAGACGAGAAGGGTAAGCTAAATTCTACATAATTCATCTTATTCGAGCGACGCAAACCAAGCGAAAGCGACACCTGGTGGCCGCGGTTAGCAGCTGGGCCAGCCTTCAGCCACGCCCACCAATCTTCGGCCCGCCCTTTCGAGAAGCCCCCGGAAAGCGAGTTTAGTTTCTCCACAGTAACCTTTCGGTGTTGGAAAATTCCAAAAAGAATTACAGATCAGCCATAGGCCAAGAAGAAAGTTCCTTCCTCGGTTTTTTGGCCAAGCTGTTCGCCGCGGTTCGCCAGGTACAGTTTACACCAAGGAAATAAGTTAGCCTAAGCATATAGATTAAGTACAGCAGCATCAGCAGGAAACCAGACAGAGAACGAGCGCCGGAAACGGATATGGAAATAAGCATCCGGCCAAAAGCAACCAATCAGCGACCCGTTTGACCAGTGTTGGTCAGCAGCCGAATTGAATTCACAGCACAGATGGACTAAAAACTTAAAAACCATTAATGAACACTGCACGCAAACCGATAACGAAAACCAATCGATCAAATCGATGATCGATGATCAAAGCAGACGATGGAAGCGAGAACGAGATGGAAGGCGAGATAAGTATATACCTACTACACGTAAAACAATTACCAAATATAAAAGCAGACGCAGCCATATGCAATTTTAACTAGATTTTAAAAGCATTAATACCGCAGAATACCAAGCAAACCAAAAGAAAAATACCCAAACTTACCGATTACTGATTACTGAATGAAAAACAAAACAAAACCGATAACAGAAATTGATCAGATTTGTACATAGCGACATTTAAATACAACTACATACACGTAATTAAAATATTACTACAGTCTAAGCATAAGCGACCCCTTTGACCCCCACTCAGAGCCCCTGAAAAAGGACATTCTGGCCAGGGCCAGGAAAATATTCACTCACAGCCTTACTGCATTGAAAATGCGCGCATTACGATTTCCGTTAAGAAGAAGAGGATGAGGGGATTCAGATAGGACATGTGCCAAACCCAAATCGGTATATATATCAAGCAGATCCCCTTTGGCAAGCCCACACACGCACAAAACACTGAAGCAAATCAGTCAAACTTACACGTAGGGTACACATACTCCATGGTAAATCAAAGCAAATCTATTCGTAACTTCAACTTCAACGTAACCATAAGTTAGTTAAACATCCTTGGTTTGGAAACATCTGATCACAAGACAGAAAAGACGAAGTAAAATAAAATACACTTAAATTTGCAGTTTTGGTATACATGAAAATGAAAAATATGAAACGAAAAACATCTATTTAAACGATGAAATATTTCCAAAAAACAATTGCGTTTTTTTAGTAGCAAGCGCGATTCTCAAAATTCCCAAAAACTTTTGGCCCAAAATCGAAACATCGAACCAGAAAAAAGAAAACAAACCGTTTGGAAGTAAAATTTTTATCACTTATTTGGCGTAGGAAGAATCAGACAGAAGAGAGGAGAAGAGGAGAGTACGAAGATTAAGCCGTGGTGCACACACACATGTGCGCCACAACTTTCTTTTGAACAAACTGCAATAGAGCAGCACACAGTGCGTATACTTTCGGCATGCACTGTGCGCCTGCACCAAAGGACTTAGTTAAACAATCAAAATTCAATTGCAATTTTGCAACAGCAACCAGTATTACTAACATTCTTCAGTTGATCAATCAGGAATCAATCTTACGCATCCTTATTTGTGAAGTTTATGAAGAAGAGGTTAAAACTTTTGGCTTATGACGTAACCCCAACATTTCGGCCGCAATGAACGTTGCCCATGGAAATTCCAAATTCAAATTGATATATATACAACAACATCAAAAAAAAGCACATGAGAAAGTATAAAAATATAAAGAGAAAGTTGCATAAACCCCCAAAAAACCGATAACCAAATAAAAACAACGATAACGATAAACAATTACCTAAGTAACCGATAACAGTGAAGAATAGAAAGAGGAGAATTTGCAATTTAGTTTTAACAGCCAACAATAGCCAGGGAAACATACACAACTCGTATGTGATATTTTTGAGTTAATCTCTCACAGTTTTCCACAACCACAATAAATATTTTTACTCAAATATACAAAGCGAAAAAGCTAAAAAAAATCGAAATATTGAAAAACAACAACAAGCCCAATTAGAAGCGACAATACGAAAACAAAAAGAGATCGGTAATAACAACAGCACAAAGCACTTCCAGCAGCAACTTTTTTTGGGTTGTCTAACATATCAAAGATAAATACGCTATATATATACTATATAGGGAGCGATAGGAGAGAGATATTTCTTTGTGTTGAGTCTTTAAGCCATCCTGAGTTCAAATTTTACACTGAATATAACTGAATATTTACCCATGATCGAATACAAATATAAATATATATACATATAAACCAATACCAAAACTAATCCATAAGTGTTTATAGTTGAATTTTGAAAGGAGCAGAGGGAGAATCAGATTTTATGCCACAGTTTCATTTGCAATAGACGAGCGTGCCACGCACGAACCGGGATAATTTATAGTACAATACAATGCAACAAGCAGCCAACAAACAAACCAAAAACAAACAAATAAACAAATAAGCAACAGCAACCAATAACTTTTTATAAAACGATTTATATTTTTATACTCAAACGAAATCAATCAACAACAACCGCAGCAATAGCCAATTAGCCAAATAAGCCAAAACTTTTAGTTCGTTCACCGAGATTTTCAGTTAGCAATTAACGACAACAGCAACAATTATGTTTTCATTTAAGAATCAGCAATTGAGAAGATCTGAGTGCCCCACATAGACCCATACCCGAGGGATATATCCTAAATATCTGAGAGAGCAGAGCACGCCACACAAGAAATTGCCAATAGATGGGCAGTCAGGAACTGCCTATAAAAATATATATATAAAAAGACGAAGCCCCGAAGAAGATGCCTGCCTGCTGAACCCGAGGGAACCGAGAGACCAGAGAAGTAGCCACAATCAAAACTTTAAGCAAACCGTGCTTGGCCTGCCAGAACTGGGATATATCTCGGCTGGCATCGGGTCGATCAGCCAATCGGGGACCCACACTCAGATCGACTCACATAGACAACAAGAATAAGTGATAAAAACCCTTTGTTTCACAATTCTCTTAC